TCAAAGAAAGCTTAGAAAGAACTCCCATGTGCTGAGAGTATTGGAGACACATTAAATATAATTCGAAATTACTTAGCTGAAAACTAATTATGCAAATCAGAAAATTAATATGACCAGATTTGAGTGTAAAACTAATGAGGTCTGCGCAATGTAACAGAAAATCTATGTCTCCAAGTTTAATTGAAATGTGATTAGAACCAAAAAATTATGAATTATTATGCTTATTAGGGAATTAATATGAACAGATTTTTACCCCAAACTAATTAGGTTTGTACATTGTCCTAGAGCATCTTTGTACTAAGTTTCATTGAAATGGAATAATTAGTACCGTGAAAACTCCAAAATTTCGACCCCTCTAAAAATTCGATTGGCTATTTATTTGCCGGGTTTCGGTGTTTTATTTACCTCCAAATTTTCGACTCCACTAAAAATTGCCGACTCATTCTTATTCGAAAATTGCGACCAGTTTTAGTTTTCCCCCAAACGAAAAAAAAAACCGATGTGAGCGTTCAAACGGGACCTTCCTCGAAGGCATGAATCCGGGTTTCTGATTGACTGAGAGATTTTTATTTTATTGGTAACGAAAATATATTCTAAATAAACGAAGTTTCAAATAAAAACGAACACAAAAATCTCGGCATGCTGCGTTTCTGAATTGTTGATTATTACTGTACTCAGTAGTGATTATAATAATGTACACAAAATAAATTTGTTGAATGGTTATGAAATACAAATAAAAGTCAACTAAGTTTCATCGTAAGCGAATGATTCCGGTCTCGTATAAACGTTTGATGCTGTAGGATATCCGCCATGTTCTCTTAGGTCAAATAGGTCAAATCGCTAATTAACCAATCAAAAAGCTGGATGATGCCAACGTGTTCAAATTACCATAGCTTATTTAAATATGTTAATGTTATTGAACGCAATGCGAAGAGATTGATGTTGTAGTACGATATTTTGGCTTGGATTTTGATGCGAAAACGGCATGATTTTTTTTTAAATAAAAAAATTAGTTGTTTTTAAAAAATAAACTGGTCATCTGAAGAATAATTTAACATTGTTCACAGTGATAACAGCTCATTCTCGAAAGGAAGCTTACCCGCTCACGCTAGTCACGATAAAAATCATACACGTGTACTCTTGAATAGACAGACGTCAATGACTACGGTAAAACTTAGACTCTATTTTAGCCGGCAGGATTGATTGAAATGTCCGAAAAATGACGCCAAAATACACCTTAAAAGTCCCATTTTATTTTCTTAAATCCCATTTTATTTTTTAATCCAAGGGCGAATTTACGGCAGAATTTGGTCCCTCAAATAAGGGACACGTGAGCTTTGATTCTAACCGGATACATTGCACTGGGTCGGGG